AAGCAAAGTTGGATTTTGTAAGAAATTAAAGTTGAGATATCTATTAGGCAGTTGGATATGGGTTTTAAACTCAGAAGAGAATTCTGTATTGGAGATATCAGCGCAGAGTCAGCAGCATCACGATTATATTTAAAGTCATGGGAATGAATGAAATTATACTGGGAAAGGGGTAAAAAGAGAGAAGAGAGCTCATAACCAAGCCTTAAGAAAGCCCAGCATTTAGGAGTTGATCAAGGAGGAAATGCTGATGAAGGAAACTGGGACTGAATGGCCAGTTGAGGCTGGTGGGAAAACGAACAGGTGAGGTGCAATGGTGTCCCTAACAACTTAGCACCTGGAGCAGATGAGTTTTGAAGCATAGGCAATAGGGCTGGCCGGTTAGCTCACTTGGTTAAAGCATAGTATTGGTAACACCAAGGTCAAGGGTTCAGATCCCTGTACCAGCCAGCTGCCAAAAAGAAAAGAACAAAAAAACCCCAAACCCCAAAACACAGACAATAATAATAGCCTGAAAAGAAGTGCAGTTAACATTTTCTTTTATTGAACTTTGTTTATATAACCATGCCAGTAACATTTTTTTTTTTGTCTTTTTCCGTGTCCGGCAACGGATTGCAACCCTCAGTGTCGCCCCCGTACCGACCGGGACCAGCAACGGGATCGCAACCCTCGCTGTTGCCCCCGCGCCTCGCTCAGCCAGTGAGCGGGAACCGGTCTGCACGTGGGATCCGAACGCTCGGCGGGAGCGCCGCCGCGCTTCCCAGTAACATTTTTTGAAATGAAAATAAAATTTGTAGGACAGAACAAGAAAAAAGTAATGGATTAATGCTTTTTAATTACATTAATGTGTTTTTGGTGAAGGGAAAAAAAATCATATGAAGAAATGTTTCCAAGAGAATGAATTTGTAAAGTTTAAAGAATGAGTTGCATATAGAATGACAGAATTGAAGTAACTCAGGTTGTTTCTTCACCTTTACAATAATTGTGCTGTTGTTTATGTCAAATCTCATGGTGCTGGTGTTTATGTCAAATCTCATTGCAGAATATGTAGTAACTCATCGATTGGGGACATGCTCCGTGCCTAAGCTGGGACAGTTCTGACCATTTCATATGTGCTGTCAAAACAAATGCATGCAGCTGAGTCTCTGTGTGCCTGGAGCCAACTGTAAAACTGGGAGTTCCCTGAATTAACTTCTTTGTTAATTAGAGGATAAGAGATTAAAATGTGCTATATTGAAGCTTACATATATATTATTAAAAATAAATAGTAACTGCAATTGTTTAAACTTAGTTTAACAAAAGATTTTTCAGAAAGGAGTATTTTATCACTGACATTGTTTTGAATTGCTGGTACATGGTGATAATAAAAAGCCAAGTGGATTTTAGTCAGTTGTATACTTTAAAAATTATCTATAGCACTGTACCTCTTGATTGCTTATGATGCCTGATGCTCTAGCTGCCTGGGCCTTGTCATGTCATTGAGGTGTAGTATTAAGGAGAAAGCTGTTAACAGAATCAAATGCCATATAAAGATATAGAATAGGAAGAATATGGTAAAGCTCCTGAAACTCCCAATCTCTGATGTCTCAGTTGAAGTTTCGAATTCCTGGGAGATGTTACTTCTGGGTAAAGATAGCAGATGGAATATATACATCTACCTTGGATCTCTATCAAAACTCCATTAAAATGACATTTAAAGGGATTAAGTAAAAAAGACATAAATCCAAAGTCAAAGACAGGAGGACTCAACAGCAACAACATTTTGGAAGCTGGGAAGCCTAAGGATAGATGGCAAATGGTTTAGCAGATTCACGAATATGGAAAGATAAGCTGGTAGGGAAGAAAGCTGAGAACTCCCTTGATTTAATCTGCAGTACATCCCCCAAAGACTGGGAAATTGCTGGCATCAGGTTCATCTGGAAGTGGAGGTGAAGAAGGGAACTAAAATAAGGAAAATTGGTTGGAAAATTAATAGTTAGATGCCAGTAACCTTTCTCCCACTTTTCAAAGAAGACTGTAGATTTGAAGAAAGAAAAATGGAGGGTTGATTGTTTGGGGGATTCTGGACAGAGATGAGGCAAGGATACTGTGCTATAAACAAGGGGATTCAGGGAACTGTATGTACACTGGATGCTGAGAACTTACAGGCTTCCCCACCCCCCACTGTGCCTGGAATGCTGGTAGTTCGACCTTCAGGTGATTGGAGAAGTTCTGCAGAATCTCACCAGCCCCCCCAAAGGACTTAAAGACACTGACAGCTGGCTTTGCCCACAAAGCAGCCCAAGTAGATCATCCCATACTGGAGTTCCCAGTTGTTAAGAAATACCCTTGCCCGCAGCTCCCATCAGCCTTTCTTTTATGTTCAAGCTTTTAATTTGTCATACTATTAAAATTCATTTTTCTGCTTTATCCTGCTACTGTTTTTTTTTTTTTTTCCTTTTTTGTCTTTTTTACTGACCGGTAA